GCACGCCTCCCACGCAAACCCAGTGTTTCCAAAGAATCCCAGATGCCTGGTAAGGGGTGGGGATAGGGAGTGTTTGAGAAAGAAGGTGTTTGGGGCTTCAGAAAAGAATGCAGTCCTGGGAACAGAGAACCACAGGAACAGATGGGAGAATGTGATGACGCTCCAACTGTTTTCAGTCTTTTTTCCTGACAAAAATGTGATACAGAGGGGCTGTGCTGGTATCTTGCCCGCTTACTAGGGGCCAAGCCCTCACACAGCTGTAAGGTCTGCTGGAGGATGGCCCTGTCCCTGGCTCTGTCTTATCCTGACACTGACGTTCGTTCCATGCCCCAACGTGCATGCCTCCCATGCCTCCATTCATATCTATGTCTATATATACCTACTTATCTGTATCCTTAGCATTATCCCTATCTCCATACACAGTAAATGCAGGTACTTCATATTGCCTTATTCATTTAACAAGTCTGTTGAGCCCTGCAAGAGAACATTACTGGGAGCCTCCCCAGTAACAAACCCTTTCAGGATGGGCACCCAGTGGCCTAATTTAACCAATATAATCCCAAAGTAATTAATTTGGGGCTGGGCACTTGTCCACATATAAACCCAACTGCTTTGGCATTGCCTGACCAAAGTGATTGTTTTATGGGTGGGCATGTAACCTGAATTGGGCATGCAACCTGAATTAATTAAAAATAAATTTCAGGGGGTTTACTCGGTGGTTGGTACTGTCTGTGGTATACTGATTGAAGCCCTGGAATGGCTGCAGCCATTTTGTCATCATGGAGGGCATCAATGTGAGGACTCTGTCAACACATTGAGGACATGCAGAGAGGATCATAGAGAAATGGAGTGGGAACCCGAATTAAACTGTGCCAGTGGACTAGCCCCATCTCTGGCCTTTTTCCTTGTATAAGCCAGTTTGAACTGCATTTTCCTGTTACTTGCAGCTGACTAAAACAAGTGCTAAGCACTGGGGATTCTGCGGGGAATAAGACAGTGCCTACCCTCCTGAACTGGGAGGGAGGTAAACAAATAAACACGGTAATTTCATCCAATGTTACATGTTGTGAGGGAAATTAGGGACTTGCAACTTTCGATTAGGTGGTCAGGGGTGCCCCCTCTGGGGAGGTAACGTAAGACTTGTGATCAAAAAGGTGAGAAAAAGACATCCCTGGAAAGATCGGGGGGGGGGGGGGGGGGGGGGGGGGGGGCACCAGGCAGTGGGGAACAGCCAATGCAAAGCTGTGAAGTAGGAGTGAAGATGGGAGATTTGAGAACAGAGGGATCCAGCAGGCTGGTGAATATTGATCAATGGGGAGTGAGTGAAGTTTAATTGGCCTCACTTGCAGGCTATGTGTGAAGTCTGGATCTTACTCTTAAGACTGGTAGCTATTTGGAGGATTTTGAGCAGAGGTATGGCATTTCTGATCTATTTTTTTAGAGAATTTATTGGAGTGACATTGGTTAATAAAATTTTCAGGTGCACAATTCTATAATGCATCATTTGTATATTTTGTGTTCACCACCCATCATCTCCATCACTATTTATCCCCTCTTTACCCTCTTCTACCTCGCCCAACCTGTTCCTCAGGTAATCATCATACCACTATGTTGGAGTTTTTTGTATTTTGCTTAATCCCTTCACCTTTTTCACCCAGCACTGCTGCTCTCTTCCCTCTGTCAGCTGTCAAACTGTTTTGTATGAGTGTTTTCTATTTTGTTAATTATGACCTACTATTTGTAAAGGCATCTTTGTGGTGAAGAGACTACAGGAGCAAGAACAGCAAGAGCAGTCAGAGGCACGAGGCGAGGAGTGAAGCTCATCTAGACCCAGATGGTAGCACTGAAGATGCCAAGTAGACAGATACAGGGAGTGTTAAGGTATTTGAAGCCTATTCATCCCTAAATTTTTCAAAAAGCCACAGAGCAGGAAGCTGCTTTCTTTTCTCCTTTGCTATACACATTCTGATGTGCCCATTGCAGATGGGGTCTATCAGCCCTTCCTAAATACCTCTCAGAGACCCCCACCAGTTTGAGCACTCTAGTCTATAATTACCACATAAAAGCATGCCCTTGACAGCTCTGTTCATATTCTATCCTATATAATAAAAGTGTAGTATGCAGCTGAAACCAGTTTGGCTCAGTGGTAGAGTGTCGGTCTGCAGACTGAAAGGTCCCGGGTTCAATTCCAATCAAGGGCATGTACGTTGGTTGAGGGCACATCCCCGGTGGGAAGTGTGCAGGAGGCGGCTGGACGATGTTTCTCTCTCATCGACTTTTCTGGCTCTCTATCTCTCTCCCTTCCTCTCTGTAAAAAAAAATCAATAAAATATATATATATATTTTTTAAAGTGTAGTATGAAAATTGTCCCTTGAACCGGGAGTTCGTCCAGGAATTCAAGGGGGCAGAGCCAGCTGGGGGAAGCGAGTACATAGCCAGCAGCCCCTAGGGACCCTACCAGTGCACGAATTTTGTGCACTGGGCCTCTAGTATGGTATAAACAGAGACAAACAAATGTTAAGAAAACAATGAGTTTTAATAAAATTACTGTTAATTGAATCAGCACACATCGAAGTGGCATTACAAACACCTTCTTAATGACAACAGATGGCAAATTTATACAAATTACAGGCTAGAACATAATGAATACAAAATCCATCCAGATACCATGTAAAAAAAGCATCACATAACAAAAGCAAATATAATTCAAGTGGCTAAAGAACTCAAGCCCCGCATTTTGATAATTGCACACAGTTTTCAACGTTAGCGCATCTAAAGCCTGCCCCTGGTCAGGGCACTATTCAAGACTACAGCATCTTCAATGATTCTAATGATTTTAAAATTCTAACACTTTTAAGCATTGATGTCAAGAGACATCGGATAAAAGGTTCACTATGCAAAACTCAAACAAGAATATGTGAACGTTCTTTGCAAACTGTAAGGTGCTGTGCAGATGTTGTTAGCTATTGCTATTATTGTTCAGTGAGATTTCACTGAACCTGAGAAAAAGGAAGACTAGTCTGTGTAACTGACAAATATGACTTGTAGAATATATTAAAAGGAACGTAGATATTACTTTTAAGTACACATAGCAATAAAACTGGCAAGAAAGGTGTGGCCAGGAATGATGGTAGCTTTAGGAATTCCAGGCTATTTTAATAAATATATAAGGGTTTAAGCTATTCATAGGTTACAAGTAATAATTATTAGGTTCCCCAAGTCCCTGAAAACAAGTTATTTCTCAGGTGACCCTTTCCCCTTGCAAAAAAAAAAACAACAACAAAAAACTACTATATATATATATATACATATATATATATATATATATATATGTATGTATATATATTTGTCAAGTTATTAATATACTTTTTTAGTCCAGCTCTTGCAAAATTTATCTTAAATATGAGTTGAGTCTGAATTTAAAAAGTTGTACTTCTAAGGTGGAGGATGCAGAGTGCTCAATGGCAGAGAAATCCACTGACCTAAGACAAGTGACAAAGTCGGCACCATAGCAGAATCATTTATAAAAGGAACCTAACAACACTCTACAACTTTACGGGAGCATGAAGCAATAATCATGAACTGGTCTGGAGATAATACACACCAGATATGGTTGAAACAAGATGTTTCATGTACCTCCAGCTTCCATTTTTCCTTGGGTACTCCTTATTTATTTAACTGTTTTTACTGGTCTCCTTGGGTACTCTAGATATATACATACATTTATGTAAAAATGGGAAATAAACACCAAACAAGTCAATCAGTTGTCTCTATTGGCAAAGATGATGAGATTTTTATGGTTAAAACGGTCCAATTATTACAATGCATTTCAGTTGGATTCCCAGGAAACACAGGTGTGTGTTTTGTTTTTTTAATGAAAGGCTTAAATTTCCTCAGTAACAACTCAAAACTGAACTTTGCTGCTACATGTAAAATGATATCCACTTGAAGAGCTAATGACATCAGATGCATTCTACAGCAGACTTTTCAGTTTTCAGCACAATGAGGAAACGAGATTATATTCTGGGGAGGGGGAGGCAAAAATGGAGGTGAAGTGAAAAAGGTAATGCTTTACAGTAAATGGGGGTAAATCAGTAGCTTGTACTGACATTCAAGTTACACTTCCTAATTGAGGTTATTCTTATAATTAGTTTTCAAACAATAGTGAACATATTCCTAACTTAAAACATTTATAAGGGCTCAATGGTAGCTTTTCTTTTTATACATCCTGAAGTATGTACACTGTGCAACAGAAAACCAGTGAAAAATAAACCTATATGTCAAATACCATGTTATTTCAACAGCAGCACACTAATGAGATAACAGTTGAAACCCCAGAGAAAAAAAATTAACTCGTTTGAAAACAAGTCTATACTGTAATAATCCTAAATATTAATACTAGCATCAAAGTCTACATTTCAAACACTTGGTACTTTTTCCAAGAGGAAATTACAACTGCTTGAATCCCTGGTTTAAATACTTGCAGAAAAATACCCATATAATTATCTACTCAGCAAATGTAGGAAACAAAATAATCAACATGGGACATTAGTATTTTACAAACAGCATAATATCCCAAAAGTACAAGAAAAAACATTGGCATTATAGAAAAAGAAATTAAGTAGACAACAATTCTAAGTGCAACATTCTAAAAGTGGGGACCATCTAGAAATCTACCACATAATACCCCAGACTCAAACAGGGGCATTCTATAATTCTATATTAAATTTGTACAATTTTATACTAAAACTGTAGTCTTTTTTTTTAAAGAGAAAGCACTTTACATTTAGAATAACTGCTAATAGAAGACATTAAACTATAGACAATATTTAACTCTAAGCAAGAATACAATTCTGCATTAAAAATAGGGGTGAACAAACAAATTGGTAATGACAAACACAGCAAGAGCCATTGTATTAGAAATTAACAATAACAGGACATTTGAACAATGATATACCTACTTGAGACACCTACCTGAAAGAAAAAAGGTACAATGTTGTTTTTCTGTTTTTTAGAAAATGGCCACTAATCACTCATGAAAAAATGCAAATAGCTGTCAGGAAAAGTTGGCGGAATCTGAACTTATTCTAAACTTTTAGTATCGAACTAGCATTAAGAAATGCATACAAGATGTAAACCAAAGTAGTGGTTATCTCCGGATGGCAAAATTACAGGGTACTTAAATTTTCTCCCTCTTTTTACATGCATTTTCTGGGTTTGTTTTCAGATTGCATACAAGTAGTACCAAGTTGCTAGAAAGAACCATACACTAAAGATACTAAAATAAAAGCACAGGTCTTTTTCTATCAGAAAGGGCCTTGAGAATTACCTAATTATATACATCTGGGATTTATTGACTCTGATTGAAAAGACTAGACTAGAAATCCCAAGAATACCTCCTGGGTGATAAAAACAATCTATTTTCAGAATTGTTCCCATTCCCTAAGTATGCAAAAATAAGCATTTAAATGTAAATTCCTATCATATAAAGTATAAAAAAAACAGTAGAAAAAAAACAAATTTAAAGGCAATTTACACAAACCTGGTAATTAAAGCATAACTTCATTGTTGAACAAGAGCAAAACAGCTTATTAAAGAGTTGATGTGAAAGCACAGGCTGGCCTGCAGGGATGCAGCTAGCTCTGCTTTGCTACAGAGATCCCTCGATAAATCAGTTCGTGTAAAATGGATGGAATTCAGCCTAGTTTTCCCATGAAATAATGTAAGGAAAGGTTCCTATTGACTAGGGATTATACTTTTTTTGAAAATTCTGTGACATTCAGAAAAATTCCAGCATTAACAATTTAAGCAATTTTCCATAGGAATTTACAGACCAAAATCCAATGACCTGGTACTTTCATGATAGTTAGGGAAAGTATTTCAACAAAAGATAAAGTTTAGATTTGCTTCAGTGTGTGCCTTATTAATATATCCAGAAAAGTAACATTCAAAGCCAACTACAAGAAAAAATGCTACAGAATATTGTTGTTGTAAAATATTCCCAGAATAATGCGTAATTAAACATAATTATTTGCCACCAATTTAATTTTTCCAAATTTTCATTTGAAAATGAGAGGCTTATAGTTAAAATAGATGATGCAAACCACTGTATCAGAAAGATCAAAATTTACACTAGTTAAATGTGACTCATTAAGGATGGATTTTAATATGTTCTTTCACCATTATTGAAACAATCAGTATCCTGGATGCATTTGCCATTTTTAAGACAATATAACACTATCAAAAGGTGTTGTTCACTTTAATCCTGTTTGCCTTCACGCCACTGTCGTGAACCTTCATTCCAGGCCACATAGACAAAGAGGGCCAGCACCACGTGGACAGCAACCACGGCAACAATAGCAGCATAAAAATAGCTATCCCTGTTGGACATCCCAAAGGCACCTATCAAGAGATAAAAGTTTTCATTTTATTCCAAAATTTATCACAGTACGAGAAAAACAAAGCATATTCATTTTTATTAGCTATATTTAATTAATCAGGGAATTAAAAAGGAACACTTTGGGTGGTGATAAAACAAGTATTCATTTAAAGATTTAAATACCTTCTTATGCACGAAAATTTATTTTGAACGAGAACTGTAATTATCACTACATCTAAGGACTCTGACACAAAAAAGGGGACTTTATTTCCTCTTCCTTCCAATGTCTGCCACCAAAGGTACATTCCCCCAAAATTCCTCCTCCCATGTCAGCCAACTTTTGCACTCAAAAGGATATTAAAAGAATCTGCAAGCTATTTCATAGAAAACCATAAATGATTATGATGTCAAGCTGAAATAACTGTGAGTGATGAAACTATTCATTTCATGAAGTAAGACTCATTCAGAGAAACATTATATTTGAAAAGCAAAACAGACCAAAGAAGCAAACTTAAGAATACCCAGTCATAAAGCACAGAACATTAATTATAGTAATATGTCTACAAAAATATAATTACCTTCAAAAACATAAGATTTAGTGGTGAAATACAACCCAATAGGTACAGTGATCATTAAAGCTGTGAAGAACAGCAGAGTCTTCAGGGTAGATGCCAATGAACCCTCATTTCTGGAATAAAGTAAACAAAGAGAAAATTAGAACCTGCACAGCCACTTCCAACCTTTCTTGTGTCTATAAACACTATGAATACTCACAGAGAAGACTCTGGAAACCCTGCTCCTGCCTTCAAAGCAGTGGCCAGAGGAAGAGGAGCAGTCAGGGACTCAAAACTGAAAGATCTTAGAGACCCAGCTGCAAGCCCATCTCCAAGAGACTGTCATTCACATCCAGTGTAAGAAGAAGTATCAAAGTGTGAAAGTAGTCTGTAATCTCCAAAGTGCTATGCAAATGTACACTGTAATTACAGAATTTTGGAGGTAGCAAGGGAGAACATACACAGAAAACAACTAATGGCTAGTACAAACAAGGTACGAGAATCTCCTAGGAAAAAGCAGTTTAGAACAATCTGGATGCAACTGAGGAAATTCACTTAAAATTTCTTTGTAATTAAATAGCTATAGTACAGTTAGGATGGTCTTCACATAACATGGATGCATGAAGTTTGAATGTCAAAACAGTTTCTCATCACTGAATTCTATTTGTCCACAGACTATTTTAAAACCAATATTCTAATGGAAAAAGTTTTGTTCCAGAAAACAATAAAACTACTCTGAAGAATGTAACCAAGTTTTAAAACTATATATGTAAAGAAAAATAAGTCCAATAAACAGCTACTTCAAACATTAGCAATATAAAGATTAAAAGAGCATAAACAAAACTACATAACATAAAAATGTCCAATAATAGGAAAATGATTTCACAAATGATGTGCATCAATATATGGAGACCTTAAAAAGAATTTTGACTATTATTCACAAAATATTCATGTGACAAATGAACAAGGCAAATTACAGTGTATTATGTATGTCAGGGGTCTGCAAAATAAGGCCTGAGGGGCCACCACTCATTTCTGTAAATAAAGCTTAACTGGGACAAGGCTACACCCATTTGTTTATGTATCATCTAAGACTGCTTTGGAGCTGCAAAGGCAGAACTGAGTGGTAGACCATAAGGCCCTTAAAACCCTAAAATATTTTACTATCTGGCCCTTTACAGAAAGTTTTCCAAGCCCTGATGCTGTTTTACTGACTTTTTAATGTCGGAATTTGTCCTATGCATTCCAAATGAGCAACATTATTGAAACTGAGTTTCAGCCGAAACCGGTTTGGCTCTGTCGTAGAGCGTCGGTCTGCGGACTGGAAGGTCCCAGGTTCGATTCCGGTCAAGGGCATGTACATTGGTTGTGGGCACATCCCCGGTAGGGGGTGTGCAAGAGGCAGCTGGTCGATGTTTCTCTCTCGCTGACGTTTCTAGCTCTCTATCTCTCTCCCTTCCTCTCTGTAAGAAATCAATAAAATATATTAAAGAAAAAAAGAAACTGAGCTTCAATAAGCTTCCAGTAACCCTAACACATACACAACACCTGATTAATTACCAACTTCAACCCTATAGTTTTAATCATTCATTTAATTAAGGTCCTTTTTTCTCCTTAAATCTAATCATCCTGACTACTTAGCACACTTCTAACTTTATGCTCATAGTCAGCACCTACATTTAATTCTCTTTCTGGTAATCCTCAGCTACAGGCTCATTTTTATGTGTTACCTTTAGGAAAGAGAGCTCTCCTCCAGGCACCTTTCCTCATTACACCCTGAAGAGTCATTGCTCTCTGGGATCCAATCACACTTTGTTCACACCTCATATGACAGTTTGCTTCCTATGTAGTCCTGCACAGCTTTCTGTATCTCTAGAAAACCCAGGCAAAGGAGTTCTTATAACTGCATATAGAATTAGCAGGAAGGTTTCTGACAGCCCCCAAAGGAAGGGAACATCGTAAGTTTATTACAAACTTTTTGACTGTGCAATCCATCATCAAATAAAAGTTACCAGCGCATACCCCATAGAGGCATTTTGATGTTTTAAATAAATTTATAGACATATTGTTAATAGCCTTTAAAATATAAAACATATGCAAAATGGGTACTAAACAGGTATTCAGATTTATGTAGAAGTTCTAATATTTTCTTTCTGTACTTCAATAGATCATCTTTAAACATTTAATTTAGCATTTAACACTTTGGTGATCATTATACAATTTTCATCTAAAATGCATGAGCTTCCTTAAACTACTTCCTAGCATTACATTTTTAGAGGAATTTATTTGTGTAATCTTCTTGACAAACATGAGTGTCTGCAGTAGTCCTATAAAAACACAGTCAGCATTTGACCTCTTTTTTGTGGAGCCTCCAAAGAACAAAAAAACAAAACAAAAAAACTTGACTTTCAGGGAGTATCTATGGAGCGTTAAAGTATGGGTTTTAGGGACATAAAGTTCAGATTATTTAACCTGATAAAGAAACAAAGCTTAAGAATCTAGAGAAAGGGCTGATTAACTGGTTTTCTTGTTCTTTAGGTTACTTCCCTCGAATATTTATTATCTGGCCTGGTTTTGAGAAAAGATTATTGAAGATATAAAACATATGATTGTGCTGCACATGGGCCGAATTTTTTAAAATTTCTTTAGACTTGAAGCAGAACCTTGTAATTTGTGTAAATGACACGTGTAAAATCTTACCTTAAAATGCTAAAAAAAAAAAATGCATTGTTTCAAATAAAATCAAGAAATGCAGCATTAAAAAAAATGTTTTAAAGCTAACAAAATCCCTTCTAATTCTACCACCCAACATATTTTATTTTCTGCATGTTAATTTCTAGCCCCACACACTCCACATATAACATATCTTAAAAATTTGTAGTTTATCTTCAACTCTTTTTTCTTTACCTTAAACTCTTATTATGGGCTATGACCTCATATATATGACTCTTATTATGGGCTATGACCTCATATATATGACTCTTATTATGGGCTATGACCTCATATATATGACTCTTATTATGGGCTATGACCTCATATATATGGGACTTAGTATAAAGTTAGGCATACAAAAGTTTGAAAACTAGCAAACTTCCTCTAGTGCTTAGAGGACATTTTCTCCTTGGCTGCTAGACACAGCCCACTGCAGCTGGCAGTTCTGCTAGCTCGCACAAGGCAGCTTGGGTACAACCAGTGATTTATTCTAAAACAAAGTACATTCAACTGGTTTTTCCTATGTGTCTTTGACTTGTTAGAAAGGAACAGTGTGGAAGTCCAGAATTAAAGTTGGTTTCACGCAAAAGAAATAATGCAGGTGAACCTTATTGTGCCCCTTTTAAAACCACTTAAGAGTTTATCCGCTTCATAAAAACTTCTGCAGCAAACACTAAGCAGGTAACAGAGCTAACAACGTCCCCTTTTGTGGCAAGACTTCTACTCCTAGTAGATTTCACTGCAATGCCCATTAGGAAACACGAAAAACAGCCTAGAAGGGCTAGAGTGTATTAAGTGTACTTAATGAAAATACCTGTTGGTATCCTTATAATAAACTGTGATAAAATAAAAATAAAAACACACATCTACACAACACTATATTGACATTGTGAGATGGGGGGGAAAAAGAGCACAGGCTCCAAAAATAACGAAATTTAATGTCACAGTGAACTAGGTCGAATGCCAACTTCAACACTTAACTTGTGTGGCCTGTGATATTGGGCAAGTCACTTACCCTGAGTCAATTTCAGCTTCCTTAAAACCAGGGAAACTAAGCACTTCCTTCATTCTGATAATGTTGTAATAAAGCACCTATGCTGAGTTTGGCACACTGTAGGTCCGCACTGAATAATAATAGCTAAATCCCTTAATCCCTTCCCAACCTCTAATCTACCGAGATACAGAGGTACTGCTGTCTGAACTAGTTGGCCAGAACCACCTGCTCCCTTAAACTCCTTCTGCTCAGCCACCATCCCCCATCCTATGGACTCCCCACCAGAAGCAGCCTCACACCAGGGACAGCCCCTTACTCCCTTTCATTCATTTATGCAGCACTTATTAAGCCCCGATGGTGCAGGCCCTGTAGGGGACACGGAGATGAAGAAGGCCGGGCTCCTGTCCTCAGGGGGCACCCTGTAGTGGGGAAAGAGATTGCAGACAGCAAGAACGCAACATAGACGACAGTGAGAGAAACTGCTAAGACAGAAGTTAAGAGCTGTACGCCAGCCGGCCTATATGGTCCCATAGCCCCGGATCCCTTGCTCCCGAGCCAAGGGCCCGGGCCAGGCGTGCACACGCTGCTTGCCCCCACCTCCTTCCCCTCTCCCCGACCCTGCAGCCGGGCCCCGGGGGTCCAGACCTCACACCCACCACAGGCCGGCCTGTTCGGCTCGGCCCGGCTCGAGGTCGGGGTCCCCCCGCTCAGCCCGAGCCCCGCTCTCGACTGCCCGGCTCGCGTCGGGGTCCTCCACCCCCCCACTACCCCCCGCCCGGCCGGAGCCCCGCTGTCGACTGCCCGGCTCCGGGCCCCGCCGGCCCGGCTCGCGGTCGGGGTCCTCCCCCCCCTCGCCCGGCCGGAGCCCCGCTGTCGACTGCCCGACTCCGGGCCCCGCCGGCCCGGCTCGCGGTCGGGGTCCTCCTCCCCCCTCGCCCGGCCGGAGCCCCGCTGTCGACTGCCCGGCTCCGGGCCCCGCCGGCCCGGCTCGCGGTCGGGGTCCCCCCGCCCGGCCCGAGCCCCGCTCTCGACTACCTGACGTCGGGCAGCTGCAGCGCGTTCAGCGCCGCTTTATCGATGCGCTCCATGGCGTCGCCACCCGCAGCAGGTCCCCGCAAACGGCCCGGGCTCAGCGGCCACTCTCAATTGGTTTAAACCGCGAGCGGTAGAGGATGGCGGCGACGGAAGTGCCGGCGAGCGCGGGACGGCGGGACGCTGTGCGCATGCGCGGCGCGCCGTAGTGACGCGAGTTTCGGCGGGCGCCGGCGTTCACGTGACTTACCGAATGGGGTTCCGAGGCGTGCGCCCCGGTGGGGGTGGCCCATCGTCGAGGAGTAGCCCGGGCGAGTAGCCTAGCCACTCCACGTTGAGCCTGGACTTGCCTCGCAGCATGGTTCTGCCGGGCTCGCGGCGCTTTTGCCGCTGCCCCCTGAGCGCCGGCGAATACCTCCGTCCGGTCCGAGCCCCTGTCGCAAAAGCTGCGGTTGCGAGGCGACGGGAGCAGCTGAGCCGAGAGGAGGGACGTCCAGGCAGATCAGTGTGGTGCTAGGCAACCAAGCAGATTCCGACGACAACAGGAAAGAAAGGAAAAAAAAAAAAAAAAGCAGTGCACATTATTCCCCAGCCCTTGAGCAAATGCCTCATTAATTATTACCCGCAGTGAAGTCCAGCCTTGGGAAGCTGGGAGGAGTTAGTTAACACTTACCTATAGAATTTCAGAGCTGAAAGAGCCCTTGCTGAGAGTAACGGTTCCAGGCTCCACGCCGATGACCACAAAGTCCACTGAAAGTTTAAAACATTTTGCAGCTGCTTCGAAAGCCGCCAATGAGACAGCAGGGACTCAAATAGGAAGGGACAGATGGGCCTCCCGGGAGGGCGGGCCTCGCAACCTGAGAATGCATAAACGAAAAGGGTGAGTAAGCCTAGGGTCAGGCTTGAGAAACTTAGGTCGTCACTGGCTGCTAATATGAGGACAGCCCTTACATGGTCAACTCCTGGAAAGGGCCACTGACCACATATCTATTTTCTGCATCACATGGACACAAACACCACATTTGAAATAATGACTAAACCAGCAGCTTAAAGCTTTGTTAAAGGACTGTGGACTGTGCGGCAGGAAGCCAGTCTTTGAGTTCAAATTTAATAAGCCCTCTCTGGGCCTCATGCAGACCCTAAGGGGGGTAAGAATCAGCTAATAACCAGATCTAGGGCAGAATTAGAGAGACTCTAGCTCTGGGGTTTGCAAATCTCTGGCCAAATATGTACAGCCAGCCTGCCTACCACCTGTTTTTCTAACAGCCCATGAATTAAGAAAGCTTATTCCATTTTAAATTATTTTTTAACGAAAAGAAAAATAATATATTGCCGCATGTCAAAATTAGATGAAATTCAAATTTCACTGTCCATAAATAAAATTGTATTGACACTTAGCATGCTCATTCATTTGTATTGTCTATGACTGCTTTCATGCCACAACAGCGGCAGGGTTGAGTAGTTATAACAGAGATTCTTACTGTCCACAAAGCCTAAAATGTTCACTTTCTGGCTCTTGACAGGAAAAGTTTGCTGGCCCCTGGTCTAGCTAATCACCCAGTAATGAGTTCCTTGAACCCCTAGGGATCCATAGATGTAGTAATGGGAGTTCTGAGAATAATTTTCAATATTAAAAAAAAAAAATCCACCAATGAATGTATTTATTGTATGTATTTATTTGCTATAAAAAATCAACAGCTACTTAAAACATCACCTTTCTTTGATGTCTGGCACTAATTACATCACATTGATAAGGCAATACTGGTTACTGCATGAGAAAATACACATATTTTTACTAAACCAAAATAAACTATTATATACTTGGCTGATTAAATATTTTAAAACAGAATGAACACAAGAGGAGGGGTCTTTGCTTTGTGACTTTGTGTATCTCCAATGCTTAGAATGAGGGCCTGATACATATTTGTTAAATTAATGAATTGGGTCCACAAGGGGGCAAAGAACAAAAGGGTCGTTTGTAGAGAAAAGATTGAAACCACTGATGTAGTTGTATTAGCTTGCTAGGTCTGCCTTAGCAAACTACCGTAAAATGAGTGGCTTAAACCACAGAAATGTATTGCCACATAATTCTGGGGGCTAAAAGTCTGAAATCAAGGGGTTGGCAGAGTTCGTCCCTTCTGAGGATAGTGAGGGAGAATCTATTCAAGTGCCTTTCACCTAATTTCTAGTGGTTTGTTGGCATTGTTTGGTGAACCTTGATTTGTATTATAGAAGCATCCTCCTGATCTCTGCATTTATCATCCCAGGGCATTCTCCCTGTGTCTGTATCTGTGTCCAGATTTCTTCATTTTATATTTTCTATTGGATTGGGAGCCTATCTTACTCCATCATGCCCTCATTTTAAGTTACAACAAAAACGACCTTAAATCTAAATAAGATCACATTCTGAAGTACTGGGGGTTAGGAGTCCAACATAGGAATTGGTGGTTGGGACACAATTTAGGAAACTGTGTCCTGGAAAGAGAAGGGATTTGTCAGAAGTCATATATTTACATAGTGGGGCCCAGCTCCTCTTCTGCCTCCCCAGTCAGCATTTTTACCCTTTCACATTAACAACCCGTGTGACAAGTGGCGTGATAACTTAGACAAGAACCAGTCATAAATGAGATTTGATGTGGGACAAAATGCCTGGCTGATCTCATTTATATATTCATTGTTTTATTTATTTAAACTAAAACTCTCATACCTTTTATTTTTTCCGGACTTCTACGCTCTACCCACACTTACTATGCGCTCACTGAGGCAGAGATTAAACTTTTAAGATAAACTAAGAAGCTGTAAGAGAAAGAAAGAAATTAGCCAGCACTTTGGCCCCTCACCAAAGTCCTGAAACCTCCTACCTGCAGCAGCTGCTAAATAACTGAAAGCCAGTGAAGCCCAAACAGAGCCGTTGCCATGGGAATGAAATGGCATGTCAGGCAACTGGAAGTAGTGCCTCCCTTGTTCCTTTGAGAATCAGAAAGTGATTCTCAGATGCAAAGAGCCTCAGTCTGGCCATTTCATTCATTTATTTACTTACGTATTTATTTATTTTGGCCTTTTCATTTTAGTTGAGAAAACGAAAATCAAAGGATGGAAAGTGACTTTCCCAAATTCACTGGATCAGCAAATGGATTAGAAAATTTAGAGTTCCTAACTCTCAGTCTAGTGTTTTCTTCACCATAATGTGTTAAACCTTAGTTCCATAACCCAATGATATGGAAAGTATACACCCAAAGTCAGTTTGGCAACACCCCCAATTTTCTTTATGGACTACCAAAACCATGACACCCCTCTCCCCCACTCAAGCAGTCTCCTATTGGGTGGCTGGCAGAGGGATAGAATGAAAACAGCCATGCTTAAAACACCAACTCATACTTTCTGAAACTGATGCATGCACAACCTTGCATCTTATAATAAAAGCTAAGCCATGAGGAAAATAAAAATAAGCTTCACTGTACAATCAACAAAACTCAGACTTAAAAAAATGAGAAAGACAGAAACTCTGGCTTCTTTATAAAGAGGCGTGATGTTTTGTTTTGTTTTGTTTTTCGTTTTTTTAAATTTTTATTTCTTTATTTTTAATTTCTTTATTGATTAAGGTATCACATATTTGTCCTCAACCCCCCATTCCAGTCTCCCACCCCCCCACTCATGCCCCCACCCTCCTATTGTCCTCGACCACTGGTTAGGCTCATATGTATGCACATAAGTCCTTTGGTTGATCTCTCCCTTTTGTCCCCACCCTCCCTTAGAGGTCCAACAGTCTGACCTATGGCTCCTTATCTGTGGATCAGTTCTTGTTCATCAGTCTATGTTGTACACCATTTCCCCTAGATGAGTGAGATCATGTCCTACTGGAAATATAAGAATCAAAAATGAGACAAGCAATAATCATTATGCAGAAAGGCATATGAATCAGTCTGTAGAGAGTTTCTTTCTGGGCCACCAGTTCTTTTAAGACCCAATTTCAATGTCAATATGGATAAAATATGCCCTTGGCGAAAAAACAAAAACAAAACAAAACAAAAAAAAACCAGTTCCACTTCTAGAAAAAAAGAATGACCAAGGAGTTTTGGCTGGGGGTTATTTTATTTATTTTTATTTAAAAATTTTTATATATATAATTGATTTTTTTTTACAGAGAGGAAGAGAGAGGGATAGAGAGCTAGAAGCATCAATGAGAGAAACACCAACCAACCACCCCCCCACACACACACTCCCCACCCCGCAACCAAGGCACACCCCCCCAACCAGAATTGAACCTGGGACCCCTGAGTCCGCAGGCTGACACTCTATCCACTGAGTCAAACCGACCAGGGCTGGCTGGGGGTTATTTTAGTAAAATCCTCTTTTGTTAGGATTCCCTGGGTAACAAAATGCAAGTTTTACTGAAGGAGAGAATTTTTCCTTGAATCCATTATCTCATCTTCTTTGCCTCAGGCCACCACCATTACCACCAAAACCTGTGTCAGGTTCTTCATTTTACAGAGACTATCCACAATGCCTATATTTTATTTACCACCACCATTTCACAGACAGAAAGACTGAGGCTAAGGAAAGTTTGGAAGTCGGGTGAAGACCTCAAAGGGCCCCTTATCTCCTGACCCTCAACCATTTCCCTAAAATTGACATTAGACCACTTTTCCCATCTCCATCTGCAGGAGAGCTAAGTTAACCTCTTAGAGCTAGTGATGAGACTTGCTAATGGAGTCAGGGAATGCTTGGAGTCCATGACTGAGGACTAGGCTCACCCACCTGGTTTAGGAGTTAAGACTTGTAATGCACTAAGTAGAGCCCATGGACCTTCTTGCAAAGCAAAAATAGGCGCTGGGGAGCAGTGAACCAGGCCCCACCCCTGCCCAGCGTGATACAGGGTCAGCCTAGGATCTCAAATCCCCTGGCACATCACGGGGTTTGTTAATGTCAGAAGAACCATGGCAGCAGGGTCCCACGGTGAACCTGGCTCCAGTGCTTTCCAGATGGGTTTGACACCTCAGGCTGTGCTATGGGAAGGGGTACTTGGCAAGAAAACCCCAAGGACTGATGTGATTAGGATCATACCCCAAGATATACATATGCTGTGCTCAATAAGGGCTAGGGGCAGAGGTGTCTTGAGACCAGCTGGTTGAGTGAAGAAGAGAGTGCCAGCACCCAGAAAGTAAAACCAGGGCTCCACCAAACTCTATTGTTCAGAAACACTGCCCATCCCTGAGCTTATAGCTAGGCGCTGAGGTCTCTGGGTCAGGTTTCCAGGTAGTCTTTCTGTGAGCCAAGCAAGTGGAGTGGGGCAGGAGCCAAGCTTGGGTGGGCTAAGACCCCTGAGGTCTGAGTTCAGGGTGAAATCCGAGTCTCCAAGTGTTCTCAACCTACAGAAGCTGTCACACCCAGCCTGAGCTGCACTACCAATATTCTTCAAATAAAATTAGTTGGTTGGGCTTCTAGTGTCTCCCACTAGACTGTACACCAGTACGGGGGAGGTGGACATGTCTGGGGGCTTTTTCATCTCTGTACTACCACAGCACAGGGCCTAAATGTATGCCCTCAGTCAGAGTTGCGCTGAGAATCCTGCTAGGGCCACTTCTTTGGCTCCCCTCACCCCACTCTCTTCTGTTTCTCTGCTTCCTAAACTGTGCTGAGATGATTAAAGCCAGAAGAAAAGGATTTAGAAGATGTTTCCAAAGTGATTTCCCTAAGAATCTGGCAGTATAGAGCTGACCTAGTGCTCTTAAAATGCTTAAAGGCATTCATTCCCCCTCATCTTGCCTTCCACCCTCCCGGCTCTCAGTACCCCATTATGTAAAACCT